GCCAAGGCAGAGCAGGCGAGGAGGAAACTCGGGATCTCAGTGACGTCTGTTCACATCAGGAGTGTTGTGGTGGCCTAGTGAGCACCACTGATGCCAGACTGATGTATTAAAAAACAGCACCCTGAAAGACACGGTCACCAGAGTGGGACAGAAAAGTGGGGGGACCCAAGAAGGGAGCTTTCTTTGGTTACGCTTGATTGACAACTGGTCAAGAGAGGTAAGGGGAGAAGAGTGTGGTTTCTACACAGTCCTGTTCTATCTTTGGCTCTACATGAAACTCACGAAGCCTCTGAGAGACAAGTCTAGTGGGAAGATGTCGCCATGGAGAAAGGAGAGGCGCCTCACCTTAGGTCGGCGAACCCTACCTCACTACTGGGGGACTAAGATCATCTTCGTACATCCTTCTAAAGACATTCTTCAGAACCCTTTGTTAAACTGACCAAGCACTTCATGGTACCAATATGGAAGACTGGGTTTGAAAACTGTCTTTACTTTAAAAATGAGAAGTCAGTACTTGGTTTGATGGCTGTATGGTACTGGATACACAATAGAGGCTCATTGACTTGGTAAATTATTGAGGGAACTTTGGGTTACAATCACTGAAATTAAAGCTGAACAAGCAGTAACAACACCATCAAATAAAGCATGAAGGAAGAGACATTTTTAAAAGGAATTGCACTCAATTTTTTTACATAGGTAATAAAATTACATAGTACAAAATTCCAAAAGCTCAGAAGTGTATATATTGAAACATCTCCTTCCAACCAGTACCCCCCCCCCAAAAAAAAGGCCACTTTAATAAACCTGTCACTGTCTCGTGGGACAGAATGGATCATGCACTGTCAAGGACTCAAGGTTAAAGACCCTCTGATCTTGAAGATGTAAGTCACTCAGCTCAAGCCAAGAGGTTACTGCCCAGAATTATACTTAGTAAAGTGAAATTCTCAGCTCAAACTGGCACAGAGAGTACAGGCTTAACGCTTGTTGCCAACAAATCCCAGTTGGCCACCAACTCTGAAATGAGGCAAGTGAAACCCCAGGGACTTTGTATTGCCCTGGTGCGCTTTGTGTTTGTTGGACATTGTATTTTGTAATCTGCTTATATCCTCCGCCTGTTCCCTTGCCATGCTAAGCTGGGGTCACGAAGTGGGTCTTCCGCATAGTCCTTGACATTCACTAGCTAAACGAGGATGAAAGCCACTTACACCGTGGCAACTGAAGCAGCTCATTCCTCTTCCCTGCCCTTTTGTAGATGGTGGAACTTAGGCCAAATGATAAATGGGGAAAAAACAAATTGGCTGGAGTAATAAGACCTGGAGCTAAGTTCCTGTTCTGACCCCTCACTGAGCCATGTAACCTTGGCCCTTCTGACCTAACTCCATCTGTGAGAGAAAGTGATTAATATCTACTCCACCTAGCCAAAAAGCCCGCGCAAGGATCAGACCTGAAGAAATGCCTTTCAAAATACCTTTCCTTCCTGTACTAAGTGGACAGCGGAGAGCAGAGGGGTCAGGAACGGAAGGCCCCCAGACCAGTGGGGCGATCCTTTACTTTGTGATCAGTACCAGGGAAGAAGCCATCACTATGTGAATAGAGCTGGCTCCTTTCTTTAACCAAAGGAAAACTCTGTGCTTCTCTTACTGAATCCCTGAACAGGCCCATTGCGGGCAAGCACTTTTCTGTCTAACACAGTATTCTGCTGCTTTAAGTGTCCACATGCTCTAACTTGTTCCACTCTGACTGTATTTCACCTGTTGGGTAAAGGCTCCCACAGAAGAATTTTATTTCGAACCTACCCTGTCTGCTCGTGCCTATATCGGACCATCTGCCCACCACCCCCGCTTCATGGTCTGTAAGCCAGCACGTAGGGTGCTAAGAACGAAGTATTCTAAAGTCAAAGCCAACGTATCTGTACCTCCAACCTCGCTTATTGGCAGGAGAGCCCACTCGCGACGGGCAGCGTCGGGTCCTGCCCGCGGGTGCCCTCTGGTGGCAGCAGCGCGCAACTGCGTCACCGCGAGAGAAGTGCGGGGTGCTGCAGCGCCCCCTGGCGTTGGTCTGGGAGCCGAGCGAGGGCAAAGGAACCCAACCAGGTGAGCCTTCCTAGGGGGCGAGGGCGCCGGGCGCTGCTGCTGCTGCTGCTGCTGCCAGGAATTTCACTGCGAGGGCACTGGTTGGGCGGGGGAGGGAGATGGTACCCAAGAATCTTAAAGTCCAGTACGCACGCGTGTAGGTTCATGTATATTGTTTTGTGTCCAGCTACTTAAACCCTGGGTGTTGTATAAAATGTGTGCCGTTTGTTGTGTGCGCACAAGTTACACGTGGGTAGCTTCGTGGTGGGGAGGTCCGCGCCTCCAGTGCAGGGCGGAGTCCTCACGGAGGCGTGAAATTGGTTTGGAGCAAACACATTACGGAAAGCAATTACCGGGGAGAGGTTCTGAGCCCGCGGGACCCGCAGCCAGGAGGCTGGGGAGGAAGCTCCCCGGCTTGCAAGAGTGTCCGTGGACGTCTGGCCCCAGCAAGGACCTTCCTAGCACTGCCTGCTGGTGGGAGAACGCGTGAGGTCGGGCAGCAGCCCCTCACGTTGCCCACTCCGCATCATCTTCCATCCCTCACCCCTGCCCTCCTTAAAAAGGCATCCTGCAGAGGATCCGAGACCCTCAGATGTGGCCAGAAATCCTTGTCCCTTCTTACCACTTCCCCGTCAAGTCCTCTCACGTCCCTGGCCCTGCTGCTCACCTTCCTCGAGCCCTCAGCTCTTGCTCCCACCTGTCTTTGTATTGGCTTCACTGCCCCTTGTATTTGAACTAGCTATTCACACACTTGCTTTCCAGACTAGATGGAAAAGCCTACTGAGGGCAGGGAGCGGTCTCCTCCACAGCTGTACCACTAGAGCCTGAAACCTGGGGCTCCGGAAGCGCGAAGTGAATGACGCGGATGGGATTAAATGAAGTTTCCATCAAAAATGCATAAACAGCGCTCTCAGGAAGGCCATCATGCCCTTGGGAGTCGGGACTCTCACAGGGCACTGAACACCTTTCACAGGCCAGCAATCCTCTTTATAGCCCCAGACCTGACCCTGTCCCTGAACCCCAGACATGAAGATCCAAAGGGCCTTGTAACAGAGCCTCTCTGAGAGGTGTAGTGGGCCGCTCCCACTTGTATCTCCCAGAGGGACCACCTGCTTCCTCCACCCCTTGCCCCCTTCTCACCCTCCCCACCTTAGACACGATGAGCACCACCCTCCACCCAGTTGTTCAGCCCCAACACTGACAGGCATCCTGGGTTCTGCTTTCCTTCACCCCCTCCCTCCAATCCAGTCCATCAGCATGTCTCCTTGGAGTCTTCCCAGAAGGGTCCCAAGTGTCGCCTAACAGCTTCCCCAGCTCTGGGGACACTCTGGACCTCAGCAGTGGCCTCCTGATGCTCTTTGATCCTCCCCCGCCTCTCCCCAGAGCCATTCAGCAGCCAGAGGGAGCTTTTCAAACCTAAATCGGTTCATGTCACCCCCCGACCCCCAATCTCCCAGCTCTTCTCCACTCCTTTCCCATGGCTGGCTCCTCCTCGTCATGCAGGCCTCACGTTAAATGTCACCCAGTCTCCAACAGCCTCCAAGCACCCTGACACTGTCCCTGCTCCTCACTAGAAAGTTCCTGCCAACCGAGACAAAGAGCCAGGCCTCCGTGCGCGCGGCACCTGGACCATGAGGGCCCTGAACCGTTGTTCGACATACGAACGGGCACCGGGGCAGCCGCCCCAGCACCCCTCTGCCCCGTCCCCCCGCGTCTCCGGGAGAGGCCGCACCCGGTGAGCAGACCTCGCACACGTCCAAGCCTCGCCGGAATCGCTTCCCGACCCCGGCCTCCCGCGTCACGCGTGCGACTTCCGCCGCGGCGGTGGGGCCCGGCCTCAGGCGGCCCGGCCGCGGCCCCTCCAGTCAGGCGGTCCCGTCCTCCCGTCGCATCCCGCTTCTGGAAGCCCAAACTGCCTTCCCGGTGGGAACCCGGGCCCACTCACCTCGGCGCCGACCCTCGGAGGCTTCGCTCTCGGCTTCTCCCTCGACGCCCGCTCCGGCCTCGCGCTCTCCCGCCCTGCCCCCACCGCCTGCGTCTGCCAGGCTCCTCCCCGCAGCCTCGTTCCCGCGGTTGGCGGGAAAAATCGTGATCGCCGGCGCCTGCGCACTCTGGGGCCCTGGAAAACCTGTCCGGCGACCCTTGACGTCACGGGTCACGGTGTATTTGATTGGCTGCTCTGCATCACTGGGCAACTCTATCTTCCTACCTGCGCTTGGGGACTACCTGTGATTTCTTAAAATCTTGGTCCTGCAGAGGACCCCAAGGGGGTCTCTCCTCTCTTGTTGTACAGATGCCGCAACTTGAGCCCAGAGAGGGGAGGAGACTTAAGATCCACACCTTCATGGCAGAGCTGAGACTAGAACCCGGGGCAGGTAACACTCGGCTCAGCTCCTGCTGCCACAAAGCTAACGCGAAGAAAGGAGCAGATGAAGAGGGACGGGCGCCGGGTGTGCGTCCCGTGCTCCTTGACGTACAGGACAGGCTTTTTTCCAAACCTGAACCTTTCGCTCTCACCTGAACCACGGTTACCCCCTTTGATGGCACACCTGCACCCACCTCACTGGCCTTCCTGCTCTCCGCTTCCCATCCTTAGCCTTTACCACTCTCCCCACCCTCTGCACTACCTCATTTCTGCAGCAGCTCTTCCCTACCCAAGGTTGTTTGCCCACCCACCCGCTGACACTGTCTCACTTGGTGGCCCTTGTACCACCTCCTGAGCCCGAGGGGCGAGTCTGCCTGGGATCGCTCAGCAGCTGGCAGATTCGGAAGGGGGACGATGACACAGCTGGCACCATGGGGCAGATCCAGGGGCGCCCCACAAGCCTGCGCGTCCTGAGTCCCCTGAGTGACCAGCTCAGAGGAAGGCCTGCTGGAGACAGCACCCAACAGCACAGGCCTGCAGACTTTTAATGCTCCTACAGGGTTTGGATGGGCTGGAGGGGTGCCTCAGGAGATCACCAAGACGAGTCTATCACCTGCCATGAGTCCAGGCTCTCTCTCCATCAGACGACCCCTGGCTGCATGGTCTGTCTGCCTCTCTCCCTGGTGGGAATGACAGCACGCACATCTCCTGCTGAAACGGCCACCTCGGCCTGAATCAGCTCAACTCGGCCCCAGGCTCGGGGTGCTGTGAGAAGCAGACCAGAGCCCCCTGGGGCCTGGGGCATCTGCTTTCAGGTCTCTCAAAAGGCAGCAGACACCTGGAAGGAGAGGTGTGGATTCAGAGAGGTCACACGGTCCAGGGGGCTGGCTGGTTCTGGCCGAGGTCCTGCCCCCAACTCCTCTCTTGCCTCCTACCCACCCTTCTAAGTGGCTGGGACTCCCCACGGAACCCGGGACTCACCTAGTAAAGCACGTCCTCGAAATCCAGCTGCAGGTAGCGGAGCAGGCGGGGTGGCAGGGGGAGGCGGGGGAGGGCGTGGGGCAGGCAGGCTGCCAGGTGAGCACGGAGCGCACAGCGGCTCAGATGCTGCAGTGATCTGGGCTGTTTCACCAAGGCGAAAAGGGACGAATAGAAACGGTGGTGCTTCTGGGGACAGAATGAGGGGCTCAGCGAGGCAGCCTTGGACAAATGGCACACATTCCTCCTAAAGCGGGGAGGCTGGTGGCCAACAGGTGTCTACGGGAGCCTATAAGATGTAGCATTTGGGTGTTAGCTCTGTGAGTTTCCTTCTTCTGGGACATGAGAAGGTCTGTGGGTGGATCCTAAGGGGCAGAGTGGGGGAGCCGACAGAGCTTCCCCGTAGGAGGTGGGAGTCTCTGGGGGCCGGGCTGAGTGACTGTGTATGTTCAAGGTCCTGGGATCTGACCTCCAGAGTTTCGGGAGGCACCAGGGCCATGGCCTCCTCGGAAAGCTGCACGACACTGTAGGTGTTCATCAGGACCTCGATGGTCCTTGGAGACGTGCACCAGCGCTCCAGCACCTGGAGGAGGCAGAGACACATCAGTGCTCCTGGGGTCACCATGCACTGCCGGCTCCCCAGCCAGGCCACACAGGGTGACCAGACAGCGAAAGAAGGGCTGCTGTAGGTTGAGTTGTGTCTCCCCACCCCACCCCCAAATATATTGAAGTCCTAATCCTCTATTAGAAGTCCCCTATTTAGAAATAGGATCTTTGCAGTTGTGATCAAGTTAAAGTCATTAGGGAATTGAGAGAGAAGGGAAGAGGCCAGGAGAGGCTTGATCAAGGAGTGATAGTGGAATCCAGTTGGATCCAGATTCATTCTTTCATTTCCTCGTTTAGTAGGTATTTACCGAGGGCCACTATGGGCTGAGCACTGGGGCCCCAGCAATCAGGACGATGGACAGGTCCTTGTCAGCTGGGAACTTGAATTTCGGTGGGAATAAACAATAACCACATAAATAACCGCTTACACATAAGCCACCACAATGAAAAATAAGTAGGCGTGGCGACTGAGCGTGGTTGGGGGGGGTGGTCAAGAAAAGCCTCTCCAGGAGGTGACCTGCTGCAGGGAAGGGTGAAGGTTGTGGGAGAGCAATCCATGCCAAAGACTGTGCACACAGAAAGAAAGACAGCCGCACTTGGCCTGAACACACACACACACACACACACACACACACACACACACACACACACCATCACTCCCCGGAGTGTGCATGGACTACCCGGAAGCACATTTGTATTTCATCCACTCCATCTCTTTTTGCTGTATCTCAAGCTATAGGCAGTGGCCACAGACCCTTTGAAGAATCTGAGACCAGCTAAGTGCTCTCTCTCTGGTGGCATTCCTGTGCATAATACCCCTCTCCCCCATACACACCTGCATGTAACATTGGGGGCTTTAAACACCCCCCTCCAAGGAGACCCTTCTGCCTGGCAGGCTGGGAGCACTACCTGTGCTGGGTGCCGCTGGGTAGCGGGGCCCCCAAGAAAGCATCGCACACACCGCGAGCCCTCTGCTTCCTGCCCTGCATCTTGGCAGTGCTCACTGGAGGTGCCCCATCCCATCAGCTCAGAGCAGGTCTGTGACTTACTCCTCCTTAGCTCTCGGAAAGAACGGGCTGGTCACATCTGACCCTTCTGCTCTTACCTGCTACTCCCGTCTGCTGTTCAGGCTGGGCCTCCCAGCCCACGCTGATTTCTGCCTCTGTGCGCTGCCCGGAATGCCTGTGCCTTCCTCCTCCACCTCCAAGCCCTTCCCACTCCAAGTCCCATCCCTTCCAGGAAGCCTCCTGTGGCTGTTCCACCTGCATCCCTCTCCCTATATTGGGATAATGCCCAGCAGCTTCCCCAGAACTTTCTCACACATTATTTAACTTAGAACAGTATGAGCTAACAGGTGTTGAGCACTACCTCTAGGTTAGGCCCTGTCTAACGGGCATTATTTTTTTTTAAGTTTATTTATTTTGAGAGAGAGCGAGCAGGGGAGGAGCAGAGAGACAAAGAGGGATCGAGAGAATCCCAAGCAGGCTCCACGCTACCAACTTAAAGCCCAACTTATTGGGGCTCGAACTCACGAACCGTGAGATTATGACCTGAGCTGAAATCAAGCGTCAGGCACTTAGCCAGCTGATCCACCTGGTGCCCCGACTGTCTAAAGGGCTTCATACGGATGAACTCAGGTCTCGTACTGAGCCTAGGAAGCAGGCACACTCTTCTGTCCTTGTTTTACAGATGAGGAAACTGAGGCCCAGAGAGATTAAGCAACTTGTGAGGGTCACACAGGTAGCGCGCCAGGCTCCAGAGCCAGCCCTCTTAGTCGCCACCTACTTCGGAGTTTGTTGGGAGAATTGCTGGAGGAATCCATGCAGCAGGCAACACCCTTTAGAAAGTGTCTGGTGGTGGTTTGGGCTGTACTTGCTCCTGTTACCCACGAGGCTCTTATACCTACAGCTTTTTATTACTATTGTGTAGACACTGTATTACAGGCAAGGAACATGCGCTCAGAGAGTTCCAGTGACTTGCCTACGGTCACAGGAACAAGCATCAATGCCAAGCTTCCTGAGCACTCAGTGGCTCCTGGAGAGCTGGCTGGGGCTGGCCGTGACCACAGATGACTCCTCCCAGGGAAGCAGGGACCTCAGGCAAGCGTGGGGCCACTGAAGATCATAGGAGACGGAGGCAGACTCCTGCCGGAACTTTTTAATCGTCTGGGACGAGGCACCCAGAATGGGGAGGAATGGGGCACTTGGTTGTGCCCGCCCCCTTGGGTCCCTAAGGCAGGGCAGGGCAGGGCTAGAGATGAGGGCAGTGGGGTCCCAGGAAATCTGTTCACTGCTCTGCCTCCTCCTTCCAACCCCTCCCCGAAGGGAAAATCATTAGCTATCAGAGCCACCGTCAGATTACAGGGAATTGCTCGTCTCCTAATTATCTGGTGTTAATAGGAGATTAATTAGTGTTAATTGTTGATTTTCTTGTATTTTCCCAAAGGGGAGACCAATCTGCCGAACTCTCGGGCTGTTTAATTATTTGGTCTTGCTTAGGAATCTAGACAGATGCTTCTAGGTTTGTGAGTGAAGGAGAAAGGCTGGAATAGCAGAGGAATGTCCAGGACCAGGCAGGGCTGGAGAGTTCAAGCCCAGAGATGGGACAGGGGGACCTGCTCACAGCCTGCTGCCCTGTATCCATTCTGACCCCGGCTCTTCAGAGAGCGGGGGGTCAGGGAGGGGTCCCTGCCCAGCACCCTCTGTGACATTACATGGCCCCCTGCAGACACGACACAGCAGGGGACAGGGCCCCCTGCCGGGACGTCAGTAGCACAGATCTTCAAGTTGAACCCACCTTGGGAATATTTATGTTAATAAAATAAGATACAGACAGGAATTTGACAGCGAAAGCCTTTCTCTCTGGTGCCGGGATAGCAGCGGCTGGTCCGGGTGATGCATGTACTGCTAAGCTCTCAAAAACAGGGACCATGTCTGCCTGCCAAAGGGCAGGAGACTTTGACCCTCATGACCCAGGCTCATCGCTCTGCCCCGGGGGGAGCCTCTCCTGTGCACAGAGTGCCTCACTGAACGGATCCCACTGCCAGACAGAGCTCCCTGCAGAATTCTTTCACTGGCTCCCTCCCCTGATGAAGAAAGGACTCCCTGACGCCCATGTCAGTCTTGGCTCCTGTCTTTTCAGATGCGTGACAATCTGGCCCCCTGCCCTCAGTCCACCTTCATCACACATGTGTGCATGCACACATGCATGCATACACACTTATGCACACGCACGTGTATACGCATGTGTGAACACATGCGTACATGCATGCGTGCACACACACACACACACCCCTCCTGGTGGTCTGCGTCCTTGCCTTTGCCCCCTACTGGGCTCTGCTTGCTTGATGAATGAAAGATGATGAACTGTGCTCAGACGTCTCAGGCTGCATCTAGAGCGAGCGGGAGCACAGGTCCGAGTCTCCCCATCTCCTCCCCATCACGCCCCTCCCCTGGGGCCCCAGGTCCATACCTTGGGGAGGGCCCCAGGCCAGACGCGGACGGCACCGTGGTTGAGTAGAGCCTGCACTGTGTGCTCTGGGCTCTGAGCCAAGGCCGCAGCTGGGCCCTGCAGAGCGCAGTGCAGGGGCGTGTGTCCCCCGTAGTCCATGGCGTTGGCACTGGCGCCGCAGGACAGGAGCAGCTCCACGACGGCCGAGTGGCCGCGGCGACAGGCCAGGTGCAGGGGCCGGCGCGTGTCCTGGTCAGCAGCATCGGCCTCGGCTCCGGCTGAGAGCAGCAGGTGGCACAGCCGGCGGCAGCGGGCGGTGGTGGCCTCGGCATCGGTGGGGGATGTGCAGCGGATGTCACAGACGGCCAGCAGCGGGGTCCGGCCTTCGGCGTTCCGGGCGTTCGGGCAGGCCCCCCGTCTCAGGAGTAGTGCCGCCAGTTCCACGTGGCCCAGCCGGGCGGCCACGTGCAAAGGGGTCTCCTCCTCCTCCTCAGACCGACCATCCACTTTCGCCCCAAACCTCAGGAGCAGTTCCGCACACCTGTGAGGGCGAGACGGCGGTGGGGGGGGAAATGGGGCCCTACGCCCTCCCAGTCCGAGCAAAGCAAGGCTGGGGGGAGTCTTGGGTGGCTCCTGGCTCTGCCTGCTCCCCACCTTCCATCCTGTCGGTCACGGTCCCTAGACACCCGAGCAGCGCTCTGCACGGTCCACAGTGCCTGCTCTTCAAGCCCACACTCTCTGCAGGAGGACTGACGGCCACGTGTGGCCACCATGCAGTGAGAACAGGTGCCCCTCCTGAGGGCTTTACACGAACTGCCTTGTTCCCCGCCCCCCCTTCAGAGGAGGACACGGAGGCCCTGCGGCTGTGAGGACTTGGCCCACTCTCACAGCCAGGAAGGGGAGGAGCTGGCAGCGGGCCAGGGGACAGCGGGGTAGTCAGGGCCGGGCGTGCTGGGGCTGGCGGAGGAAGTGGGGAGTGGGACCTGGCGGTGGGTGCAGATGGAGTTGGGGGCGCGGGAGAAACAAGGAAACTAAACTCGGCCAGCCAGGTTTGCTCCCAGGAGGCCCTCACGGGAGGCTGTGCAGAATGCGAGAATGTGCCTGTAAGAATGGGTGCGGTGAAACTGAAGCCTAGGGGGACTTCACCTCTTGGAGCTCTAGTTTCCTCATCTGTAGAATGAGGACAACTGCGAGTATCCAGACCTCATGAACTGGTGAGCAGCGTAAGAGACAAGGCCGGGGAAGGTCATGACAGTCGCACTGGGCAGGGAGAGTGGGTGGTGATGCATCTTGGGGGCTCATTCTGTTATCCCGCCCACATTTCTATGTGTTTAAACTTCTCCATGATAATTTAGAAAAATACGTCTGTTTACTCGGGAGAGGAGAGAATGATGATCACTGGCTGTGATCTCCGAGAGGCTGGACTAGAACACGCCCAGAAGTAAAAACTGTGGGACTGTATAGAGCTGTGTTACCCAGCCACACACAGCTATTGAGGGCCCATGTTAGACGCCTCCTAACCGAGACGTGCTGTTGAGTGTAAACCACACACCCAGTTGGAAGACTTGGTACAAAAAAGAGAATGTAAAAATATCTCATTAGTTGTTGTTTTTTTTTAAATATCGATTACATGTTCAAGTGACAATATTTTGGAGACACGTGTTGAATAAAATATATTATTAAGATTAATTTTGCCAGTTTCACAGATATTTGTATGCCCACACTCACAGCAGCATTATTCGCAACAGCCAAAATGTGAAAACAATCTCATCCTTCAGTCAGCGGTAAATGAATGGATAAAATGTAGCTATCTACGGGCTACGGGCAGCCTGGGTGGCTCAGTGGGGTAAACATCATCAGACTCTTGATTTCGACTCAGGTCATGATCTCACAGTCATTGGATTGACCCCCATGTTGGGCTCCACGCTGAGTGTGGGAGTTCTCTCTCTTGGGGTTCTCTCTCTCTCTCCCTCTCTCTCTGCGTTTCTCTCTCATAAAAAATAAACAAACAAACAAATAAATAAAAATTTAAAATGTAGTATCTACATACAATGGAATCTTATGCAGCTGTGAAAAGGAAGGAAATGGTGACACTTGCTATAACACGGATGAGCCCTGAGGGCACCAAGCTGAGTGAAATAAGCCATCCATCCAGGGACAAATCCTGTGTGATTCCACTCATCTAATTTACTGAAGAGTGGTCAAATCCTAGAGGCTGGAAGAATGGCAGCTGTCACGGGCTGGAGGGAGAGAGGACTGGGAAGTTATTGTTCGGTGGGGACAGGATTTCAGTTTTACAAGACAAAAAATGTCCATGAGGTCAGTGGTTATGGTTGCACAACAGTGTAAATGTACTGAGTGGCACTGCATTGTGCACTTAGAAATGATTAGGATGGGGCGCCTGGGTGGCTCAGTTGGTTAAACCTCCAGCTTTGGCTCAGGTCATGATCTCACAGTTCATGGGTTTGAGCCCTGCATCGAGCTCTGTGCTGACAGCTCAGAGCCTGGGGCCTGCTTCAGATTCTGTGTCTCCCTCTCTCTCTGCCCCTCTCCTATTCACATTCTGTCTCTCTCTCGCTCACACACAAATAAACATTAAAAAATTTTAAAGAGAATAGAATGGTAAGTTTTATGTTTTATGTATTTTACCTCAATTTAAAAATTTAATTTCATCTATTTCTTTTGTCTTTAAGATTTTATTTTTAAGTAATCTCTACACCCAAGGTGGGGCTCAAACTCACAACTCTGAGATCAAGGGTCATACACTCTACTGACTGACCCAGTCAGGCATCCCATTATTTCTCATCTTTTTTTTTTTTTTTTTTAAGTTTACTTACTTATTTTGAGAGAGAGAGAGGCAGAAAGAATCTCAAGCAGGCTCCGCACTGTCAGTGCAGAGCCTGACACGGGGCTCGACCTCACGAACTGCGAGATCATGATCTGAGTCGAAATCGAGTCAGGCTCTTTACCCACTGAGCCACCCAGGTGCCCCATTTTCCATCTTTCTGATAAACCTACTAGAAACTTTAAAATCACATATGTGGCTCATGTTATATTTCTATTGGAACACACTGGTATAGAATATATCTTCAACCATAATTAGTCAGTGGGGTCTGCTGAAGGATAAGGTCAACAGGAGGGAAAAGAGATAAAAATCCGGCCCCATTCAGGAGCAAGATATGAAATGTGTCAGGTATGCAGTCAGTAGAGAGAAGGCCTCTACTGCATATACAAGTCAGTTCATGGATTTGCCACGGCTCCGTTTGCCAAGATTCGATGCCCATCAAAAAACTGAATGAGGACTCATTCCCCATTGCTTCCTACACACAGGGCATCATTATTTGGGTCACAGCAAAGGAATTTTCCCTACACTAAAGAATACATTGTCACATGGGTATGTCCATCAGTTTCTTTTGAGTTTTGTTAGTTGAGCTTGGTCCCTAGGCCCGTTTATCTGAGGGCACCTGCCAGTAGGGAAACACCAGACCTGCCCACAGGGATCAATGCATGCCCCCGACTGGGGGCTGCTATCCTTTACAGACTGCCTGGATCCCGCCTGGACGGTCAGCTCTCTGAGGCCAGGACCGTGCCTCAGTTACTGCTGGGCTTAGCACAGTGCCTGGGACATCGGATAATCTCAGAAAAATCAAAACTTCATAGTACAGCACCTGCCCGTGATGGATCTGGACAACCTCCCCAACATAGGCTCTGCAGCGGGGTCCCCGCCGCAGCCCTCCCATGCCCCTGGGGAAGCAGAGGCTGTCCCAGGGCCAGGCCATTGCCAAGTTCCAGGGTCAATGGCAGGGTCAACACCCTGACTCTCCACCTGAGCCCTGAGTCCGGCACCCCCCCCCCATGCGCTCCCTTATTCTCCCCGCGGTCCTTGCCTCCGCTGGGAGTGGAACGGGGGTCGGGGCGAGGAGTCACTCACTCAAGGGTGCCAGCCCCCTGGCAGAGGTGCAAGGGGAGTTTTCCATCCTGGTCGGGGATGTTGGGGTCGGCTCCTGCCACGAGCAGCACGTGGGCACAGGCAGCGTGGCCCGCAGCACAGGCCTCGTGCAGGGCGGTGCGGCCCCCCGGGGCGTGGTCAGGCCTGGCCCGCCGCCTCAGCAGCAGCCGCAGCACTTCTGTGTGGCCCCGGCTAGCTGCCACGTGCAGTGGCGTGGTCAGTTCCTCTTCGTACGTCAGAGACCAGAGTCCTAGGGAGAGAGGGACATGGGCCTCAGACCCCGGAGGGAGGGGAAGAGCCGCGGAGGAGTGGGGCAGAGGCTCGGAAGTGAGAGCCCAGAGCTCTGTCCTTAGCCTCCCCGCTCCCACTCAGACCCCCCCCCCCCTCGCCGACCCCAGCGCCCCTGGCCCGTACTCAGAGCCCGGATGTTGAAGCGGAAATCCCTCCATTGCTCTGGGTCGCCGGTATCAAAGATGGAATCCGGAGTCAGGCCAGCGCTGGAGTCTGCGAGGATGTGGGAGACAGAGCCCACGTCCCCGGCCAGCAGTGCCTGCCAGAAGGCCAGGGCAGGTCCTGAGGCCGTTCGGGTGACGATGGGTCCCGAGCCAGACTCCAGACGCTCTGCAGACCCTCTGTTGGGGTTCTCCACCAGCCTGGCACAGAGGGCATGCCTGTCACTGGGGGGTTCTCCCTGCCCCCTGCACTCTTCTGGGGACCAGCTCATGAGGACTGAGCATGGGCATGGGGGTCAGAGGCAGAGAGGGAGAGGGAGAGGAGGAGGGAAGCCCGGACAGATGGAGAGAGAGGGTCTCTGTGTCCCTGAGCTGAGCTTGACCCCAGCACGCAGTTCAGCAGAAGCTATTCTGGGCTCCGCATGACTTCACTCCTGGGCCAAGCCTTAGGCAAGCCTCTGGGAAAGGAAGAAGTAGCCAGGGGCTTCTCCTCTTCCTCATGCACTTGGTATCTCTGGGCCTGATGGGGTCAGCCCGGGCCCCGACCCCCCACCCTGGTCCTCAGCCCTCCCTCCACTCCCGGCAGCCCCTCACCCCTCTGGTGACTGCTCCAGCGAGGCTCGGCGGCCCGGCGCTCCAGCAGCAAGTCGGCTGTGCTGTGCGGGGGAAACAGCTCCTGCAACCTCGCCAGGTCTCCGGTGTACAGGGCATTCTGCAGGGCCATGTCACGGCACAATAGAGGCGACGACGGCCGGGTCGGCTCCCAGGCTGGGCCCGATCGGGACCCCCAGACCCGGCAGGCAGGGGCCAAAGGCAGGCCCGCCAGACGGTGTCCCCAGTGGGGAGGGGAGCTCCTTCTTCCAGGCATAGCCAGTTTCTGGGAGAGAGGGAGCCAAAGAAGCAGGACTCAGTCAGGACAATGCAGCTGGCTGATGGGAGGCCCCCCCCCCCCCAAGCCAGGCAGAGGCCTAGTGTGGGAGGGGCAGGGGAGCACACTCAGGCCATACCATAAATAGCCCCGGCTGTCCTAGCTGTCAGTCCCAGGGAAGGAGGCTTCAGGCTGGAGTGGGAATTAGGGAGGAGCTGGAGAACAGAGAGAGGATCAAGCCCTCCCAACCCCGAGGTTCATCCTGGAGTTGCCACTGTCAGGGTTGAAAGGGATCACCCAGATCATGCCATCCTGCCTGCAATTTCACGGGGAAAGGAAAATGGGGCCCACATGTGGGAAGTGCCTTGCCCGACAGCTTGTCGCAGATCTGGGACCAGAATGGGGGTGGGGGCTCTCAAGCTGCCATTTTCTTTTTTCTTTTTTTAATTTTTTTTTAATGTTTTATTTATTTCTAGGAAAGAGAGAGAGAGACAGCGTGAGCAGGGGAGGGTCAGAAAGAGAGGGAGTCACAGACTGAAACAGGCTCCAGGCTCTGAGCTGGCAGTCAGTACAGAGCCCGACGCGGGGCTCGAACCCACGAACCGCAAGATCATGACCTAAGCGAAAGTCGGACGCTTAACCGACTAAGCCACCCAGGCGCCCCTCAAGCTGCCATTTTCATACTCTGTCTCAGCAATTCGCCAAGCTGGCCTCCAGTGGTCTGGGCTCTGATCCCAGAGGGAAGGCATGTGGGTGCCAGGGACGCTCTCCCCAATGTCACCTCTCCCCAATTAGCCCTGTACTCTCCCCCTCTCAAACTAAGGAAAGGGTCCACAGTAGTGACAAATGCAGAGAATGCCCTGCTCCACGAGACATTCCTTCCAGGGGCTCTCTACAGTACAGATTTCTGCCTGGGGGACAGAGTCTTAGCCCACAGGCAGCAATAGAAACTCCCAGTCTCTACCCTAGGTGCTGCCTCCCCATGCCCACCCTTGGTGCTGACCCCCCCATGCCCACCCTAGGTGCTGACCTCCCCATGCCCACCCTAGGTGCTGACGCCCCCCATGCCCACCCTAGGTCTGACCCCCTCATGCCCACCCTAGGTGCTGACCCCCCCATGCCCACCCTAGGTCTGACCCTTCCATCTTCCTGGATGACTCCTTGATCTCCATCTCCACCCGTCAAGGTTAAAGGGGTCTCAGTCGGGGAGTGAGAAGGAGGAAATGGCTCTGAGGATAACAAGACTACTTTTATTTGGAGAGAGAAAAAGGAAAACAGGGAGAAAGAGAACTTGAAACCCATCCCTGGGCAGCCCACCATGGGCCCTGGGCTTGCTCCTGCCCAGATGGTCTCATCTCGCCTGGCTCTCTCCGCCTCCAGGGGCTTTTATTCACACCTTTGCTTTTATTTATGCTGCTTCTTCTGAGAGCGCCCTGGGGCTCTCAGCCCTCCATGCCCCCCACTCTTCCCTCCCCAGCAAGAGGGACCGCAGATGAACTTCCACCCAGGGGCAGGAGGCTGCATCCCTCCCCCCCTCCAAGAGGGGCAGGCTCTGGGTTGGAGGAGGAAATTGGGCAGGTGGGCAGGGGGCAGAGGGTGCTGCAGAAAGAGGTGGAGACCACTCAGAGAAGGCGCTGGCTCTACAGCGCCCACGACACGCTTTCTCCCCAGAACCTTCCTCTACCCCACTGCGCTGCTGCCTGAGTCCTCACCACCCCCGACACACTTTTGCAGAATAATCAAACCCTAGAGTACCAGGGAGGCTGGAGAGGGGCAGGTCCAACCTCTCCTCGCTTTACAGGTAAGGAAACTGAGGCCCAGAGACTGCGGAGCTCTGTGTAAGATCGCACAAGGACTTAGTACCGAGTGTGGCTAAGACCAGGGGCTGCCGACCTCCAAACTTGCTTTTTTCTTTTTCCACACTTAATGTGGACCCTCCTTCTCCCTTCCCTTTTTCCTTCTCTCCTTCTTTTCCTATTTTTCTCTCTGAAAAACCCCAAGGCGGAAGAGAGGCGGGGAGCCGGGACAGGAAATGGCAGGAGATGAAGACATGGGTGGGGTCAGAGGACAGGGATCTGGGACAGGAGCGGAGGAGGCCATGATCGAGGACTGAGGACCGGGAGGGGTGGGGCGTGAGGGGGAGCCTGGGCACAGGCAGGGGGCGGGAAGCATGGAGATGGACAGAGAGAGCTGCTCCCCAAGCTGTGTGGGCCTTTATGTCTCTGCCCCTGCCCCTCCACCTGGGGGCGCTGCCCGGGCCCACTGCTAAGCTCGGGCGCCCCGGCCATCACTTCCTTTTCTTCTCTTTCGCCAGCTTGGCTTCCTCAGCATCCTGGTCCTTGATGAGTTGTACCCTCTTCCGGCCCAGTGGAGTCTTGAAGTACCAATCCTGGGGGGGTGGGAAGAGGCGGAAGGGTGAGTGCATTGGAGCCGCCCCCTGCGGGCCTGCCTCCTGACCTTGACCTTCCCTGTCCCCAGACATGTCCTCAGCAGCCTTTTCTCCTCTCTTCCTGGGGTCGGCGCCCTGTTAGAGGCCCCGTTTCCTGTGCCCCAGGCCACAGGGCCAGCTAGTGTTGGGGGCAAGCCCTGGGTCCTGTCCTCCTTTGGCCATCCTGCATCCCCCCCCCCCCCCCCGGGGAGCATGAGTGGGCACTGACTGAGATGGAGAAAGTGAGCGTCAGCTGGTGCCCGAACAAACCAAGGGCTCTCGACACACAAGTGGCACTTTCGGGCTCCTGCCCTTGAGGAAACCGGGTGAGCTGGTCCTGCTCACTTCTCCATCCCCGTGTTTTCTTGGTCCCTTCCCAGCTCAACTCCATGGGGGAGCAGAGGGAGGGCTCTAAGGGGTGCCGCGCGCCCGGGGCTTCAGAGAGCTGGCCCCCTGGTTGTGCTGGCCCACGACCCTCCCTCCGGCCCCTCCCTGCTACCAGCGCCCCCAGAGCCTCACCTTCAGGGACTCCTCCTCCTCCCTGTACACGGGCTCCAGCTTTGCCAGATGCCCCAGGAACTCCGAGGCCACCAGGGGCCTCTTTGATAATTGCAGGACCCGCCGCTCGGTCAGCACTGATTGGATGGCTTGGTGAATGTGGCTAGGTGTGTAGCCATCAGATACCTTGGCCAGGGCACTGATGTCCAGGCCCTGGGTCACCCGGACTCCGTGGGCCTCAATCATCCGCCTCCAGAGCACTGCAGGCATTGGGCGGGGGTGGGGGGACACAGGGCAGGGAGGGACAGTGAGCAGCTCTGGAGAGCGGCTCTGTGTGGCCAATGCCTCCCCACTCCCAGGAAGGTGACAATCATCCTTTCCACCTAACACGAGGAAAACGAGGCTCTGAGGACTTCAGTGGCCAGCTCGTGGCCAAGGAGCCAGGCCAGGACCCAGGCCACGGGACTGCTTGTCTAGCGGCCCTTCCAGAACATCTGGCCATGCAGGCGGGGTCTCAGAGCCGCCCTGGGGACGGGAAGAAGGGCGACGACGCTTTGGCAGGGTGGTCCCTGGACCCCTTGTCTGGCCTGTTCCCACGTCACAGGGCCTCACCGTAGCGAGAAGCATAATCGGGCCGTGGCACCAGGAGGATCCGTTCGTAGGTGCGACACAGCCCCTTCGGCTCTGCCAGCTGCGGCTGGTCGGTCGTCCCGATCAGCATCACGCGGTCTCCCGGGTGCAGCAGCCGCAGGGCCTTGGTGAGATCCTTCTTTATTCGCTTTGGGTCCATCTGCTTGGGGGAAGGGGGAGGGGGGAGGCAAGGGGTGGGGGAGACATGACACGGTGACTTCTAGGGGGCTCTGGGCACTCTCAGAGGACACGCCCACATTCAGCTACACACAGGCGCGCTGGGAGGCAGGTGGCCCAGAGAGGCTCTGAGTCCTGCTTTCAGGGTAAGGGGAAGGCAGCCGGAAGACAGGGAAGCTGTCCAGGGCCACTCGGTGAGCGAGGTCTGGCGCTGACTTCAACAAGCCCGGGACCGCCAGCTCTGCCCGTGGCTCACGCTGCCACCTGGGTCCCCGCACCTCCTTCTCTTCTTTCGGGACCCTCTTATAGAAATTCTTCTCGGCATTCCCAATCCAGATCACAGACGGTTGTAAGAGTCGAGCCACCTGGACAAATCAGAGAGTAAAAACCCGACGTCAGCTGTCCCTGGGCAAGGGTCACCTCCCCACCTGGTCCAAGAGAGGGTCGGTCAGGGCTGGCCCTGAGTCCCCGGCCCCCACTTCCTATGCGCTGCCCACCTTTCATCGCAGCTCAGTGTGAACACAGCCCCCGCCCTCCCTGGGTAGGAGGCTGGAGATGAAGCCTCATCTCTGCCATGAAAGAAACTGCTCTGCTCCCCAGGACCCCCCCCCAACCCCCAGCAGGGCTCCAGGTATCCACCAGCTCCTAGCAGAGGGTGGGAGGGAGACCTCATCAGCTCCCGAAGTGACACCGAGTGGGCAGATGGGTGACCTCCTAAGCACGGAGCCCACCCCGCTGTGTCAACGCAGCCTGAGAACGAGAAACGCCGTCGGGGGACCGAGACCTTAAAGACCATGTGCACGAGCATCTGCACCCCCGTCGTGCCCGGGTATTTGTCTTGCAGGTTGTCAGGTGACAGGTCGAACAGGTTGGCGCCAGTTTCTGTGCACACGGCCTTGACCAGCATCTTCTTCCCCACGCCGGACGGGCCCACCAGGAGGATGGAGCGGATGAGGGGAGCCATGGAGTGTATATCTGGGGAGCCTGAGGGAGGAAATGGGGGACCGGAGGCTGGCAGCAGACCGGTCGGGGGCTGGGGGTGGAGCCGCTGGCTAAGGTGAGGCCAGAGGCCGCGGGCTGGGTGGGGTGAAGTTCAGATCCTGGCTGCATTGCCTTACCCGGGTTTCTGAGGTGCCCCCGAGGCGGCCTCCCTGAGACACCCAGCCCAGAGGGCTTCCAATGGCTTCCCGGTTACGATTAGGAAGCGCTATATGCTGGGTTGGGGGGGCCTTCTACCCCATCAATGCCCTTTCTGTTTTCCGTAGCATCTCTTTCCACTTCTGGATTACGAAGGGGTGGAATTAGAGGGCGTGTGACCAACCGCTTCGGAAAGATCCTGGACTTCTGGGAATGGGACAGACTACGGAATATCACTTGGGGTTGGTTAAGGGGCCGGAAAAGTGGTCTCCTCGGCAGGTCAAGGGCCCACATGAGTTCTGGGGCGGCCCAATCTGGGTGTGACCCCCAGCAGGGCCTGGGAGAGGCAGGGGGAGGCCAGCGTGGGTCCACTGCAGAGGGGACACGCCCACCTCAGCCCCCCCAACCACGCGCCCAGCCTTCCCTAGAGCCTCCGGCCAGCATTGGCTCTGCCCTCCCCCTCCCCGCAGGGCATCTCACCAAGCCGGAGGACCGCATACAAGGCCACGTTCTGTCGTACATCAAACAGGGAAGGCATAGGCAGCTTGTTGGCCAAATTCAGAGTGGATCCAAGATAGAGCCAGTCACCTGGGGGGACAGGTAGCCACCTGGTGAGTGCCACCCACCGGGGCGTTGCCGAGAGAGAGCCACTTGCGGAGAAGGCTCTCTGCAGAGGGTGCCGGCTGGCTGTGGGAAAGGCCTTGGGCGGGGGGGGCGCCCCTTGACCTGGGAAGAGGCGCTGGGGAGGGGAGTCTCACCAATGTAGTCTCTCAAAGGCACAGTCTCACTCTTCCTTAGAAAGCCAGAGACAACAAGCTCTTCAAACAGAGAGTCCAGGGACCTGCAGAGGACAGCACGGCGGGGCCCCCGAGGACAAAGGGACACGGAGACAGAGATGAGTGGGATGGTGCTACAGGCTCGGGGACAGGGGTGGAAAGGTCTCTTGCCCCACAGCTGGGCTCGAAAATACCCAGAGGGCCCTGGACGGCCAGCACATGAAGGGGCGGCACCAACCCCCTGGCCCAGAAGGCAGTCTGCCCACAGCGGGTGCTCTGGCGGTGGAGGGGGGTGTGAGGAGGACCAGGGGCCCCCGACACACTCCCTCCATCCGTCTGCCCCAGGTTGCATTGCCCGAAACCCAGTCATCTGGGTGACATACCGCCCTCTTCCTAGAAGCCACATTTAAGATGGCCACACTCCTGTACACATTAGAGCAGCCAGCATCAATGTGTTTGAGACTCACTTCACCAAAGAAGCGAGTAGACAGGAGCCACTGGCAAGGTGGAGTCCCAGGGCAGGTGGCTTTGAGAGGGACAGAGGCGGGAGGGAGGAACAGGACGGAGGCAGCAAGGGGCCCAGTCTGCTCACACCTGCCTCTGCACCATCATTCCCAAAGCACGTTCCCGTGCTTCTATTTGATCCTCACAGCTACCATGGGCGTTGGGCAGGGCAGGCACTTGGTTAAGGAGGACAGGGAGCCAGAGAGGCTAAGAGACTTTCTCTAGGTCGCACAGCAACGGAACCAGGACCGGAAGGCAGCGCTGTCCCGGGCCAGGGCTTGCTCCACCACCCACGATAGGTACAGGATCTGCTACCTGTTCAGGGTCAGATCTTTTTCCTTCTTCGTCTTCCCAGTTTTCTTCCCAGTCTTTTTCTGGTTGGAAATAAGCACACAGGCCACTGTCTTCTGTGCCTCCTTGCCTTTCCCACTGTGTGCGCGCCCTGGCCCCGGCCTTTGCCCTTGGTCTTGCCTTCGGAGCCTTCAAGGCTCTCTCCTCCTCCCTGTCCACAGCCAGGCGCAAGTTCTTCAGCTCTTGACGCATCAGCTCATCCACCTGGGTGGGGGGGGTGGGCAGGGGGTGTGGTGGGGCAGCCGGGGGCTGCAGAGGACAGGTGGGAGGGGCAGACCGAGGCAGGGGCGCAGAGGAGGAGAGCAGCCTCCAAGAAGAACGAGCCTGGCCCCTGGGTGTCAGCACCCACAACCTTCCTACACCCTCTTCTGGAACCTTCAGGAACGCCCCCCCCCAGTCCCTGCACCAGTCTGCACCCACTCCTAACCCACGTCCTGCTCACACAGGAGCCTTGCTCTTCAATGGCATCAGCGTGGACAGAAGCTCCCGGATGGAGTCAGTCGGCTGACAGTTCAAGCCTCAGACCCACCCTTTAAAGTCTGTGTGACTTGAGCCGTTGCGTGTTTTCTCAGGTCAGGAAAACCACGGCACCTCCCTCAGGGGTGTCAGAAAGACCCCATGATCCACACGCAGGAACTCTTTAAGGGCTGACGGGCATGGTGGTGGGTGTGACCCCAGCTCAGAGCCTCTCATTCCCCCTCCTCCCCAGTCTGCATCTGCACCTTGGAGGATGGTGGACCCGAGACGGACCAAGGTGGAATTAGAAGGATGCAGAAAAGGCAGTGCAGAGAGGTGGCTATTAAAGAGGGGCAGGGGCAGGCTGGGGGAGCGGAGGGGGTGCTGGGGGGAAGCGCACAAAGCAGCTGGAGGTCCTGGCATTGCTCACTTGTATCCGGATCTCTTGCTCCACTTCCTTCTTCTTCTCCATCTGGAGCGTCTTGGGGTCAAAACTCTGATTGGGGTGTATACTCTCATACCGGCTCCTCCACACATCTGACCGTGAAGAGATGGACAGAGGAGTGGCGTTCAGAGTCCCAGGGCACACACGCATTCCTGCACACATGCACAAACCTGCTCACACGTACGCACTCGCACGCACTCAGCCAGGAACCTGCCCCAGGCTGAGCCACGTCTCTTGTCTGTCTCCCTCCATCTGTCTCTCTCTGTCTCAAGCACATGCATACAGGGGGCAGGAAGCTGACCCGGGCGGGGACCTCCATCCTCACAGGGCTGTCTGGCGCCACTGCTACCCCCGGACTGCACAGGCCTGATCCCAAGGCCTCAGGATTCAGATCCAAAGCCATAAGCCCCCTCCCACCCCACCCCACCACTCCACACTGCTGGCCCGCTTTGGCTTCTCCCCTCGGCCTCCACATCCACACACCCACACTGCCGCCTCAGGATCCACATAGCATATGTCCACTTTCCCCAGGACCCAGGGTCACGACAAGACCCTGACAAGGCCTAGACACTCTCCCCCAGCCCCTTCCCCTCTTACGTATGTACTCCTCATGTCCGGCATTAATCACAGGTATAAATTTGGATGGTGACACTTTCAGCATTGTGCTTGCTTCCTGGAATAGAAACAGTCTTTGATCTTGACCCCTTCATGATCTATGGCCCTTATTCTCCTCAGACCAGCTTCTCACCAGGAATTCCCTCGGACTCTGTTCCCTCTGCCCCCCTGGACCACACATCCAGGGGGTGTCTTACCCCCTTCCTGGTCTTTGCTTCCTCCTCTTTCTTCTTCCTCTCTTTTTTCTCCTGTTCTTTTTCCTTATTTTTCTCTTGGTCCCTTTTTTTGCTCTCCTGGGCCTGCATCTCCAGTTCCATTTTTAGCTGTGATCAATGATGGAAGAGGTTTCAGAGAAGACCAAGGGGATTCTATGGGAGCTAAAGGTCCCAGGCCTGGGACTGTGGTAGAGTAGGGTCACAGGTGGGGGGCCAGAGAGTTGAGGGCCCAGAGATCTCACTGGGGTCCCAGAAAAAAGGGGCACCAGGCAAAGAGGTGCTCTGATCAGTGCTGCTGCTCTTTCTCGGCCTGTGGAGGCTGAGAGCCACACGAGTCTCACCAGACTTGTTTTCTCTCCCTGGCCAAAGATGGCTTCTCCATACACAGGCAGCAACCCCCCCCCCCGCCCCCGCCGACCCCACGCAGTCTTGCTAGCTATATATATTTCCTCTAGCCACGTCTGCCTTCACTGAGGCCGACCTTCCCCCCACCCCACCACCACCCTCAGTTTACACTCGGTACACTCTACAACTTCAGACCCCACCTACCACAGAAAGTCTCCTGTCCCCACCTATAGGGTACCTGTTCTGGAGTCTTGTCTGAAAAGATCAGGTAGGATCCACCTAAAGACTCATCTGGATAATCAGGGAATCGACCAGTGAGGGCACTAAGTGAACATAAAATGATCAGAGAGATGGACAGGTGGGTGGATGGACCGATGGATGGGTAGATGGCTGGATGGGTGGATGGATGGATGGATGGATGGATGGATGGATGGCCAGTGGATGGGTGGGTAGATGGGCCAATGGATGAATGGATGGGTGGATGGATGGATGGATAGATGGATGGATGGCCAGTGGATGGGTGGGTGGGTGGATGGATGGATGGACAGTAGATGGGTGGATGGATGGATGGATACATAGTAGATGGATGGATGGATGGATGGATGGATAGAGGGGTGGATGGACAGTGGATGAGTGGGTGGGTGAGTGGAAGGATGGATGGACAGTAGATGGGTGGGTGGATGGTTGGATTGGATACACAGTAGATGGATGGATGGATGGATGGATGGATGGGGATGGATGGATGGATAGATGGGTGGATGGACAGTGGATGGGTGGGAAAGTAGAAGAGTGGGTGAATGGATGGATAGTTAAATAGAGGGAAGGGTGAGGAAAGAAAAAGGACTACGGGAATAGAGAACAAGACGGAAGGAACAGAGAGATATAGTTTAGATAGGAGAGGTTCCTCAGGGTGGCATCCATGATTGCCTTCCCCATCTGGTTTTGGCATTTTCTCTTCCATCCAGGGAAATGAGAAGTCATGTGTAGAGATGGTCTTGTAGGTTGGGGGCCCCAGGTTGAAGTCAGGTGTGTAAGCAGTGAGTGAGGGGGCTGGGGTGAATGGAGAAAAGGGCCCGGTCTGGACTAGAGGACAGAGCAGGTGTGGGGACCCTGTGAGGGGCAGGGAGAGAGGGATTGGTTGGGTCAACTGAAACTGACTGGCACTCAATAAACCACTGTCGGATCTGCTCCTTCAATTTCTCCTTTATGTCAGGTCCCTCTGTCTCTTTGAGAGAGTCGTGAGTCGTCACCATCGCCAGCTGGAACTCCTCCTCCCTCTCTGTCTGGCAGAGTCTCCGGACATCCTCCGCAAAGCCAGCTTGGGACATGATACCCAAGTTGTCCACCTGGATGGGCGAAGGGAGCTGGCGAAGAGGAGAAGGGGCCCAGGGTCTCAGGAGTGAAGCGGGGAGGGCCCCGCCCCTGGCCCTGGGCACACACACCTGCCCCCCTCGCTCCCCAGCCCACCCGCATACGTGAGGCCTCGCATACACGCCCACACGGAACATCGGGCATGCCTGCATCAGGAGAAATTGTGTTCGGAGCCCAAACTCGCCTGTGTAAATTACTCTGATAATGAGTTTGCTAGATGCATCTGGGCTGGCCCCCCCTGCCCGCTCCCCCCAGTGTACTCTCCCCCGTGAGCCTCAGGCCCCAGCCCCCACCCACACCCCCACCCCAGCGGCCCGTGTTGGCAGCCGCTCTCGCAGCCACTTTCCCGCCTCATTGGCTCCCAAATGTATTTTAAATATCACTCTGCGCAGAGACAATTACTGAAAACGCTGAGCTCACACTGTTGATGGGCCCGGGCGGCCAGGCTCATTCCTCACCCACCACCATGCCATGCCCCCCACCTCCCCCCTTAGGCCCGACCCTGGCCTCCCCCTGCCTGCTCTTGCCTCCTGGGGACCCAGCTCTCCAAACCCTCAAGTCTGATCTCCACTCCCAGGTGGTGCCCCCTTGGCCCTCCCTCCTTCTGAAGCCCCCAAGTCTCCTGGAAGAGCCACCCCATGCTCTGTCTCTGATCCCCTTTGGGGTCCCAGCCCCTCCCCAACTGCCTTTATCAGGAGGCCCTCACAGGCTCTGCGCATTGCACGGCCCCCTCTCAGGGATCACAACCCTCACCCCTACCAGGGCCTTCCTTTCCTAAGTCAGCAGAGACTAGCCCGATGTAAGAGCCATCAGAGAGCAGAGGACAGATATGATTCAGGGAGTGGGGCCTGTTCACCCTGCCTGTCCACACGCACTGGGGACTGCCCCTTTAACTACCCGCACTGCCCTCTCCGTGCACACCGGTGCCCATGTACATGGGTAACACTTGGCTACAGTCCCTGCATAGTGGAGAAGCCAGGATGGTCCCCCCAGAACAAGTGGGGAGACTGAGGCCTGAAACACTGTGCTGCGAAAGGGATGTGCCCCCTTCCCGACTTGGCCCTGTGGTTCTCCCAGAGGCTGCAAGAGCCTGGGGCAGGGAGGGAGGCAATTCCGACTAGCCTCGTGGGCTCCTCCCTCTGCTAGGGCGGCCCACACAGCTTCTCCTCCCAGCCAGGGGCATGAACATGAGGTCCAGGATGCTCTGTGCCACCGTCCCTCACCCCACACCAAGTGTGAGACCCTTCCAAGGCATTTGGAGAGGGAAGGATGGTAAGGGAGCTGGCTCGCTGGTGGCTTTCTGCTCCTTCCCCTTAACCAGGTTCCCCAGGCCCCAACCCTTCCACTCATGCCAACCACAGTCCTGAGTGGAGGGGGGGAGTGTGGGCAGTGAGGGTCTGTACAGGGCTGCACTCTGACACAAAAAGAGGGGAGGGATCCCCTCCGGCCTGTGGCCATGGCGAGGGGGCCGCTTACCATGCCGATGAACTCCATCTCAGTTTGCCGGTCCCGATGAGTGCGTTTCCTCTGCAGGTAACCCTTCCACACCTGGGGGGACACATGAGCCCAGACACTCCCACACTGTATTTCTGCAGGGATGCGGCTCGTGCCACCGGCCCCCAGGGAGAAGCACCAGCCACTCCCAAGGAAAAGCCTGGCTAGGGGAGTTTGGGGGTAGGAGGTGGGTGAGGAGAGCTGGGATTCCCAGGGCAGCCTGCGGGCGAGCAGGAGCCGCCCAGGACATGGCAGGGCTGGTGCGCACCCACACGGTCCAGCCCCAAGGCTTTGCTCCCCCCGGGCCCCGAGGAATTCCCTCCTTCTCAGCCCCATCCTCTAATCTGCAGTATCTCTTAACATAGAGCTCAAAGGCCACCTTCTCCAGGAAGCCCTCCCCCCCCCCCCGCTCCACTTCTCAGGATTCCCACAGCGTTGAGAACACAGACTTGATTCCCCCCAGACACAGAGATATCAGTGCCATAAGGATGGTGGAGCTCCCCCGATTCATTCCTACGTTTTTGACACAAGGAAACTGAGGCTGGAGACAGGATGTGGGTTCTCTCGGGTCTAAGAACCCATGAGGGCAGAGCTGAGACAGGACCAGGTTTCCTGACTCCTTGCCCAGGGCTCAGGCCCGAGGACAGCCCAGTCCTAGCGGGGTGGGGGCGGGGCAGGGGGAGGCAGCCTGTGCCTCAGCAGGTGGTGACCATTCCATACGGAGCCTCAGTGAGCAGCCTCTGTATCCCCAGTATTTCCATAAATTCTTTTTTTTTATTTCTTTTTTTTTTTTAATGTTTTATTTATTTCTAGGAGAGAGAGAGAGACAGCGTGAGCAGGGGAGGGTCAGAAAGAGAGGGAGTCACAGACTGAAACCGGCTCCAGGCTCCGAGCTGGCAGTCAGCACAGAGCCCGACGCGGGGCTCGAACCCACGAACCGCGAGATCATGACCTAAGCGAAAGTCGGACGCTTAACCGACTAAGCCACCCAGGCGCCCCTCCATAAATTGTTGAAGTCTGGCAATAGGGACAAAATGACTTGCTCTGGCTCCCGGGGGGTAAAGTGGGAGCTCTCTCTTTGGCGCTGACCTTCCTTCTTGAGAATCTTGCTTCAGCGAACCCTATGGGCAGGGCCTCCTCCTCATCTGGGGTCAACCAGATATTGGTGCAGTTGCCCGAATGCAGGGGACACAGACAGGCATGCGCCGTGTACTGATTAATAACCTAAAACTCTATCCCATTCGGAGAGGTTATATCTTCTTGAGTTGCCGTTTGTTGGTTGGTTGGTTTGCTTTTTTGGGCTTTGATGGAAAGGGGTTCTAAGTTTCCTCTCTTGGGCTAGCAGACAGTTCCTGGGGCTCTGGGACTGGGGAGAGAAACTGGGAGAGGGCACTGATTGGAGCCGGAAAGATCAGCCCCATGTCAGCAGTTCTGGGGCCACTTCTGGAAAGAAAAGGCCGCAAGAGACTTGCTGTGACAGGGCAGGGGAGTGGGCCTCGGGAGCTGTGATGCTGCAGGAGCAAAGCGTTCCCTTTCTTGCTCTGGAATTTTCCTAGGGCCCCTCCAGTCTCCTCAAGCTGGTAACCGCTACCAAACAGAGTAGGCCTGTCAGCCACATCTCAGCGATGACAGAGAGGCCACACACACACGCTGGGGTGGATGGCAAGGGCTCAGGATGGCGTCCAGAACAGAAGAGGTGGTGTGACCACCAGGATCTTAAGAAGGCCTGGGGAAACTGAGGCACGGAGCTGGGTTTTCTGCAGTGAGGCAGGATGAGATGTGATTATGTTATTTCCATGTTAAAGTAAAGGTCCAGAACTTGAGGACACCTGGATCACATCCGTTCTTAAACTCTATTTCATTCACTATGTTTCCTTTTTACCTCAGTTGCCAGGAGTCTCAGGATACATTTTAGTGACTCATCTTTAACGGTCTTAAGAGTTTCTGGAATGATCATCCACTCTGTTCTGCTACCTCACTATGGATGCTTCTCCCCTAATTTTCTTATTTAAAAAAATATGTTTTTTTATTTATTTCTGAGAGAGAGACAGCATAAGCAGGGGAGGTCAGAGAGAGAGGGAGGCACAGAATCTGAAAGAGGCTCCAGGCTCTGAGCTGGCTGTCAGCACAGAGCCCTATGCAGCGCTCAAACCCACGAACCGTGAGATCATGACCTGAGCCGAAGTTGTACGTTCAACCAACTGAGCCACCCAGGCGACCCAGCCTCTCCCCTAATTTTAATGATCCTTCTGTTTCTGGGGCATTTATAATATCCTGCTTCAAGTCCTTTGGGAGACAGAAGTGTAGGATAAATGATAAACAAACAAGATACACACTTATTGACTGATTAGGTCCCTAGTTTAGGATCTAGTTGTGGGGCAACAGAATCCAATCTCCTGCCCCTCTATCCTCAGTTGGTGAGCCAGGCAGTCTTCCTGGAAGAGGTGACTCTACCCAGACCTTCCTCCTGGGTGCTGGGGATTACCTTCTGAATGGAGACAGCAGCTTGGTCCTGACTGAATTTTTGCCAACCCTCCTCTCGAATCTTCCGATTCTGCTCCTCTTCTTTCCGAATCTCCCGCATGAAGGTGGCTCGGAGCCGGCCCTGTCTGGCCCGCTCGGCCCTTTGCAGTAGGATTATGGCCTCGGTCCGAGTCATTTCTGGAAAGTGCTGGCCAGAACATAGGCAAAGGAGCAGGAGGAGATGGGACAGGGCTTGAATTCAGGCTAGCAGCTGGGAGACTGTTCACCAAAGGACTTGCTGGATACATGATCCTCCCAGGGCATGTAAGTGCCCAAGTCCTGTCCTCTATGTTGGTTTCATGGGGCACAAGAGCATCCTTGAAGCAGGCCAGGAACTGCCCAAAGAGCACTCAGAGGTGGGCACGGGGCAGGGGGAGTCCTCTCTGTGTCCTGGAGGATGGCATCTTTCTTTTGGGGGCAGGGTATGAGGGGAATCTGGGAAGGCGTCTCCCTGATTTACCTCGCTGGAGGTCGCTGGCTTCATTCTCCACAGGATCTCTGCCAGCATCAGCTCCCGCTCCTTCAGAATGTTGGACTGCTCCAGCAGGAAGTATTTGGGGATTGGAACTTCCAGGTCTGCCTTTGGGGCAATAGTGGGGAAGGAGGGTCAGGAATCAAAATCCAGGCCATCTGGCTGATCATTACCATTTTCAGCTGCTTACACAGACCCTGGTGATGCTTTCCTTCATTCTAGAGCCCTGAGATGGGAGATTTATGGGTTATAGGCAAATCCCCCCCCCCCCCCCCCCCCCCCCCCCCCCCCCNCCCCCCCCCCCCCCCCCAAAGGTCATGCCTCTATTCCCCTGCTCCACCATGTTACCAGAGTTGAATTCTGGAAGATGACGATAGTAATGGGCAGCGGCTCCAATTTTGGCTGTGCATCAGAATCACCTGAGGGGGCTTGGTCAAATGCTGAAGCCGATTAGTGGGTTTGAGCTGTGGTCCATTTCTAACAAACTCCTAGGTGATGCTGATGTTGCTGCTTCCAAGGACCCACACTTTGAGAAGGAAGCCTGTAGGGGATTCTCCTCACCAATCCCCAGTGGTTGGTGGCTATTCCCAGCCTCGCGGGACCTCCAGCCGGACTCTCTAGCCACCCCCTAACTCCTTAGTAGCACGCATCCCCTCTCCCTGAAACCCTTCTCGAGATCAACCCCATCCCCCTGACCTGCCCCACCCTCCTTCCCTTTGCAGACATGCCACACCCAGGGCTGTCGCGGGAAGTCCGGACCAGCTCCAGCCTCGCCCCGCCCCCTCCCGCCCCAGGCGGTGGAGGCGTGGCCCCGCGGCTCCCAAGGCCGGCGCTGGGGTGGGCGTGGCCCCGCGGCGGGGTGGGCGTGGCGCCGCGGCGGGGCGCGCGCACCGGGGTGAACCTCAGGTCCTGCAGCACGCGGTCCAGGCAGTGGTATTCGCTCAGGTCCGCGCGCACCAGATCGTCCTTGAGCTCCAGCACGCGGCCGGCCACGCTGTCCAGCAGGCGCCGCAGCAGCCGCCGCTTCTGCGGCTGCACCATCTGGTCGTAGAGGGTGTCGAACCGGCGCAGCAGCCCCAGGTATTGCAGGTAGAGCGACGAGAGCTTGTACTGGAACGAGTGCCGCTCGCGGTCCGGCACGGGTTCGAGCAGGGGCTGCTCTTGGTCCAGCAGCTCTTGCAGGGCCACGTGGGAGGAGTCCCAGAGGCGTTGGTACGCTCTGGAGAGGAGGCAGCAGGCGTGGGGCGATCTGAGCCGTGGAGGAGTGGGGACAGTGGTGGGGGGAGAGGGGCGCCGCTGTGGCGATTGAGGAATGCGAACTCGGGTTCCAGAGGTTAAGGTTCCTCCTGGCGCCAAGGTGGAGTTCAGTGTAGTGAGGAGTCGTCAGGGGGGATGCGGTGGTAGTTACAGAGAACACACGCCCAGGCTTGGAGAAGGTGTGAGATTGGGATCACTGGGAGGGAGTCCACTGAGGGGTCAGCACTGAGGATGAAGAATAGGCCTGGCCCTTTGGGGCTCCCAGGAAGGAAGAAGCCTCTTGGAGTGTGCAGTGGGTCCCGCCAGGGAGAGAGTGCAGCCCAGGGATGCTGCGTTGGTCTAGCGTGGTGGTGGGAAGTGGGGGCAAGGGAGGAATGTAGAGAAGGTCTCCTCCCCTGATTCTGGAATAAGTAAAGCAGTCCAAGGAAAGTCTGAAGAGGGAGAGCTGACCACAGGCCAGAGCGGCCAGGGTTGCCGTGTGAACGTCCGGGGGCCTGGCCAGGGCTGGCCCAGCACAGAACGGCCCCGCTCCCCAGCATCCCTCCTCCCGGCCCACCTGCCCCCGCCTGACAGGGACCCGGGAGGCACTTCCTTCTGTGCTTTCCCAGCCCTGGGCGCCCCACTCCTGCTCCTCACTCACCCCTCAGACATGGGCCCCACTTCTCACACCGCTCTTGGTGAGCTGGTCATGCAATCCACACAACCTGTGGCCCCACCTTGACTCCACTGCCGCCTCCACCCTGACAGCCAGAGCAGCCTGGTTTTAAGGGTTCTGTCCCATTGTCCCAATGTTCTAAGGCTGCGAGGGGAGGGGGCAGCAGGTGCAGCACTGGGGACACTTAGGAGGTTCTCGTCGCAAGCCTTGGAAGGCTGGAGCAGGGCGTGGGGTCAGCTGTGGCTACTTTTCTCGTGTGAATCAAATAAAAGAGTGGTCGCTATTTGAAGTCCCCCCGTGAGCCGTGAGTCTCTGGGTGAATGTGAGTCCAAAGGCATTCATTTTTCCAACTGCACTTGTCAACTGGAGGAGCCCCATATTCCTGAGCTCAGAGCCAGCCTCCTTTGCTTTTATTTATGACTGTCCTGGAGTCGGGAAAGGGAGGGGAAAGGGCACTGGGGTTGGGGATCAGAAGGTCTGGACTCAGGCTCTGAAGTCACAGCTTCCCTTTCAGGTGAGCGCGCCCGTTTCCCTGGGGTCTGGTAGCATTTCACATGGCTCGTTAGAAAGAGTAGCAGATGAGACTCAGTGGTCTTTGGGACTCATTTTGAGCCATCTGTGGGTTACCCCATCGGGCTCAGGAGACCACTATTCAAAAAACACAAATATAGTCAGCTGGGGGTGACTTTTTTGATCCAGTGTTAAGTAGGGACTTCTGAATAAATACATAAGGCACAGGGCAAAGGGAAGGGGGAGAAAGGGGACAGCAAAGAGGAGATGAGGAGTCCTGTGGCTTTGAAGTACATGCAAATTACCTGAGATCTTGTCAAAACTTCCACGACCCTGAGGCACATCTTAACAAGGTATAAAACGCACATCTTAGCAAGGTATAAAACGCAGTGGGAAGGGGAACAGCCAAGGCTTAGGGACCACATGCCCTGGGCCCTCCCCTCTCTAGCTGCGGGACTAAAATGTGGGTAATTGGTTCTCTGCTCACGGCATCTGCATGTTAGGCTGTGTCTCTGTAGGAGACAATGTGTGTGAAGCATGTAGGCCTGTGTCCAAATGTCGGCCATTATTACCGTAAGCCTATTCAGTACCTGAAGTTGAAGATGACGAGCTGTATCTATCCAACTGCAAAGGGGAGAGGAAGGATTTTGGACTTCTGCACTAAATGCAACTCCTTGACCCCCACCCCCTCCCGGCTTTGGAGAGGATTTGTGGGTAGCATGCCCACAAGATCGAGCAGAGGCCAAATGAGAAAAAGCAAGCATGGTCAAATGTTAAGTGGTGTGGGAATGCAAACTGGTGCAGTCACTCTGGAAAACAGGATGGAGATTCCTCAAAAAGTTAAAAATAGAACAACCCTGGGGCACCAGGGTGGCTCAGTCGGTTGAGCGGCCGACTTCGGCTCAGGTCATGATCTTACAATTTGTGGGTTCGAGCCCCGCATCAGGCTCTGTGCTGACATCTCAGAGCCTGGAGCCTGTCTTCGGATTCTGTGCCTCCTTCTCTCTCTGACCCTCCCCTGCTCATGCTGTTTCTATTTCTCTCTCAAAAATAAATAAAACATTTAAAAAATTAAAAAAAAAGAATGACCCTACAACCCAGCAATTGCACTACTAGGTATTTATCCAAAGGATACCGGTGTGCTGTTTTGAAGGGCCACATGCACCCCAATGTTTATAGCTGCACTATTGACAATAGCCAAAGTATGGAAAGAGCCCAAATGTCCATCGATGGATGAATGGATAAAGAAGATCTGGTATATACAATGGAGTATTACTCGGCGATCAAAAAGAATGAAATCTTGCCTTTTGCAACTACATGGATGGAAGTAGAGGGTATTATGCTAAGACAAATATCATATGACTTCACTCACATGAGGACTTTAAGATACAAAACAGACAAACACAAAGGAAGGTAAGCAAAAATAATATAAAAAGAGGGAGGGGGACAAAACATAAGAGACTCCTAAATAGAACAAACTGAGGGTTGCTGGAGGGGTTGTGGGGGGGTGTGGGACAAATGGGTCAGGGGCATTAAGGAATCTACACTGGAAATCATTGTTGCACTATATGCTAACTAACTTGGATGTAAATAAAAAAATAAATTATTTTTTGGGGCGCCTGGGTGGCTCAGGTGGTTGAACATCTGACTTCGGCTCAGGTCATGATCTCACAGTTCGTGGGTTCGAGCCCTGCGTCGGGCTCTGTGCTGACAGAGAGAACAAACAGCATGGAGCCTGTTTCGGATTCTGTATCTCCCTCTCTCTCTGACCCCCCCCCTTGCTCACACTGTCTCTCTCTCAGAAGTAAATAAAACATTAAAAAAAAATTTTTTTAAATTATTTTTCAAAAACGTTCAGTGGTCAGTGACGGACATTGTACTTTCTTGCACTTTTTCTGTGGGTTTGAGATTTTTCAACATAAAATTTGGGAAGAAAAGAGGAGTCTCAAATATTCCTACCAATTTGTTCTGCAGTTAGGGGGAAGAGAACATTAGGGGAAAATGAAAGCCTCCCTAGAGCCCAGTAGGTTATAGAGATGCCTTCCGTTCTGTACCTCGGAGAAGATCTATGTAGCCCCCCGCACGAAACAGGACAAAAATGAGTTTGCCAGAATTGCTTTCACAAAGCCATGACCTGAAAGAGTTAACACACAGCTGGGGCGCCTGGGTGGCTCAGTCGGTTAAGCTTCCGACTTGGCTCAGGTCACGATCTCACGGTTTAGGAGTTCCAGCCCCGGGTCGGGCTCTGTGCTGACAGCTCGGAGCCTGGAGCCTGCTTCGGAGCCTGTGTCTCTCTGTCCTGCCCTCACTCACGCTCTGTCTCAAAATTAAATAAACGTTAAAAAAAAATTTTTTTTAAAGATTAGTTTTAAAAAAAAATTGACACAGTTGATCAGGGATTCTAATCTAGATCCTACAGAGCTCACCACCAGTTGGAACTTTGCACACTTACAAAGCACTATCACTGGATGCTCTTGGGGTACACTCAGAAAGCAGGGTTTTAAAAAATAGAAGGATTATGGGGCACGTGGGTGGCTCAGTCGGTTAAGCATCTGACTTCGGGTCTGGTCATGATCTTGCAGTTCATGGGTTCGAGCCCTGCGTCGGGCACTGTGCTGACAGCCAGCTCAGAGCCTGGAGCCTGTTTCAGATTCTGTATCTCCCTCTCTCTCTGACCCTCCCCTGCTCACACTGTCTCTCTCTCTCTCTCTCTCAGAAATAAAAAACATTAAAAAAAATAGGATTATTCCACTTCGTAGCTGTGAAAAGTGACAATATACCCTTGCCCTACATCCCACCTCCCCTTTTCAAATCACCACAGTGTGCGGGGAGCAGTTCACCCTTTATTAACATTAGGCCCTGGGTCACTTGGAGCTGGTGTACTTGGTGACAGCCTTGGTGCCCTCGGACACAGCGTGCTTGGCCAGCTCCCCGGGCAGCAGCAGACGCACGGCCGTCTGGACTTCCCGGGACGTGAGCGTGGTTCGGCCCGAGTACTGGGCCAGCCTGGCAGCCTCACCGGCCAGCCGTTCAAACACATCGTTCACAAACGAATTCATGATGCTCATGGCCTTGGAAGAGATGCCAATGTCAGGGTGCACCTGGAGAAGCAGCGAGACGAAACCATTCTGTTATGGAGGAGGCTCCGCCTGACACCGCAGGCCCCGCCCCAAGGCCAGGACTGCAGGAAGCTGTGGGGAAGGTCAAGGCTGCCTCCCCAGCCTCTCACCGGAGGCCAAGACCGGGGAGATAGGGATTTGGGTTTTTCCTCCTATATCCAAGTTAAAACTTTTCCTCAACTGTTGGAAGTAATGCTGTGAAGTTCCTCCTATGAGCACATGTAAGCATCAATCTTTGGCAAATGCAATCAGTTACACAGCATTTTGCTTTTCTCACTTGATGTGTTTGCATGGTGTTACTCCTAGGGGTGAGGTTCCCAGGGGCGAGACCCCCGCTGGGTCCGAGGGTTTACGCACTTCACTTGGCAGACTGTTACAGATTACTTCCCAGAGAGCACACTCGTGTGCCACAGCCTCGGCACCAGACCGGGAGTCAGGACACCAGGGTTCTGTGGCCGGACTGTGGAATCACTGTAGGGCTTCAAAGAGGCACTTTCCTCTGGGCCTCAGTTTCCTCCTCGTTCACGCAAGCTTTCGAGCTCCAGCGGAGCCAGCAGGAGGGGCCCAGTAACAATCCTAACGTGTGACCAGGCAGACATTAAGCGTTTCCCTGTGAAGTGGGAGAGAAGGGACTACGAATGACATTCAACAAGCCAATAGAGGAGACCGTGAACTCGGGTGCTCCCCGCCGCCACTGGCTGTCACCGACAGCACGGGATCAGAGCCTACACCCCTTGGGTTGTCATCTCATCTTTTCCCCCTTGGGGCTGAGGGGTGTAACAGTGTCCCCGTATGTGGGTAACTCACTCAGCAGCTCTCCTCTGCGAGTCCAATCCAGGGCCAACGCTTCCCTTAGGGTTTTTGAGCCCCAAGGTTAGCTAAGCTGCAGGGCTCACAGGTGCTCGCTCCCACCCCCACTTCCTTCAGGACACTGGAGTCTGTTGTCTGCTGCTGCCCCTTTGGCCAGTCCACACCCCACCGCCCGGCCCCACAAAAGCATTCCCAGAAACCCAGGTCATCAGGTCACTGAAACTGCTAATAGGCTAGAGATTCTAGGATCTTCTTGAACAAAGGAGTAAGACTCAGGCAGGCTGGGGAGGCTCGGGGCAGAGAAGACAGCTGTACTGCCCGCTCCTGGCCCTCGCTCTGCCGAGTGGGCCAGGGGCTTTGAGAGCAGGGTGCCTCGCGTCCTAGGCAAAACTGTTGGGTCCCCAGTGATGCCCCCAAATGTTTGTCAGCGTGCAGGTGCCAGGGGTGGGCGCTTCTCCTAGGTGCTTTGGTCGACTGCACGAGCAGAGCATTCAGAGCACCTGTGGGTTAGGAGGTGAGACCAGCAGGAAGTATGTGGGGGCCCCGCTCAGAGCCAGGGGACCTGACTTCCGCTGCAGTCAGGTCCTGAGGCTCAGTCAATGCTTTGAG